ACCATTTAGATCTGGACCTTTTCTTCCAATAAATTTTCTCTGATTTGCGCAACTCCTCCAACTCTTTGCAATTCAAACTACGATCCATGACTAGCTGCTCAAAAGGCACACCTGCCACTTGGGCACAATGATCTAAAGCTTCAATATCTGATAGCATCTCGTCAATTTTAGCCCTAATATCAAATTTGTTGTCACGCTTCCATGCAATCAGTTTATGTTTCATATTTAACAACTTCCTATGCAATTGGAAATCTAAAGTACCTTCCACTACAGTATTTACACAAGTTGCTCTAATCAATTCAACTATCTCTTTCTCCTCCAATCAACCCACATCTAGCCTGAATGGCTTTGGCTCGCCTTTTAACAGTCTCGTATTAAGCATAATAGGACAGTGATCATATGCCAATTTTGACATAGCCCTAGTTGTAGATAAGGGAAAATTTTCCAATGAAGGCTGCTCTTAGAGACATTGATGAGTTTAGGTGTCAGCCCTATTCACAAATCCCATGAGACATTCCATGTGGGCTCCCTCATGGTAGATAAAGGTGATGGATTGGAAGAAAGCTTTGGAAGGAAGATTATGTGTATGGAAGTTTTGATGGCCCCGTAGGCCCCGTTTCTTTTGTGGTTGTGGTTGATCGAGGGACTTGGGAGCAGCTTGAGATCAAAACTGAGTTTTTTGTGTCTGGCTCATTTTCACCTCCAATTGCGGACTTCTTTAGCCTTGCGGACTGGGCCCAAAGAGGATGGAATTTGTCCCATTGGCCTGATATCAAGACTATTAGCTCCATTATAATTGTTCTTAAGCTTCGATCAAAGGAGGAAGTCAATAAAACCTTGTCTCATATATTCTACAGAGTTCGAGGCAGCCTTCTTGCCTTCTTTCATTAGACCTGTGGAAGGGCATTGGATCATTCTTCCTTTATGCAAATGGAATCAGTCTAGGTTAAATTTTGGGGCCTTCCGTTGTCCGCGTGGAATCTGGCTATTATAAAAAAAAGTGCAGGTCGATGTGGGACCTATCGGGATTTGGACTGGGACTCACTTCTTAATCCCATATGTCAATTTGTGCGTGTTAAGATTGGCATATGTGCTGGTTTGTCTTTTCCCGAAAAAATCCTCTTATTCATTAACGATGATTATTTTGAGGTTTCAATTACAGATGATGAGGATTCACATCATTCGAAGAAACTCTTTGCAGCGGATTCGTTAAGGGGAGAGGGGGGGGGGGGGGGAGGAAGCAGAATGGGCAGAAGGTGCAACCAGAAAAGTTTTTTCAGGTAACTTTAGCCGCATTTGCATTGAAGTAATAGCAGGATTTGCATTCGATTGAGAAATTTGCATTCGATTGAGAAATTTGCATTCGATTCATCGAAGGGATTCTCGAAACGGTTTCTAAAACAAGCTATTGTTTCTCTGACGAATATGAATTCCAGTAAGGAGCATATTGAGGTGCCAGTTTTGGGTAATGTGCGAAAATTTGATGTGCGCTTTCTTTCTTCTTTACACCCACCCTCTGGTAGTCCGGCAGGAGCACCTTATCCATTACAAGGACAAGATAATGAAAAGGTGGCTGTGGCGGCAGGAGAGAGTTCCAAAGTAGGTGGGGCTGACAACCATATTTTTGATAGAGATTACCTGTTAAACGTGGCAATCGTGTCCTCTTCCCTAGGGGAAAAATTCCTTTTTCTTTGTCTTTTCTTTGGAAAGAGATTGAACTTAAAAGGAAAGTGGTTTTTTTGCTAACAAACCTGGTTGCTCTTTTGTGTCTCCTTGCTCAGAAGAAGTTCTCGATGTGGTATGTCCAACAGAGGTTCTCGGCCTTATTTTTGGTGGTTATTGTTAAAGCAGAAGATGTATCGTCTTAACTTCCATCTAGCTACAGGCAAAGGTTTGGGGAAGAAGTCTAGGACTCGCTTTGACCCATTGTTGATTGATCATTTGGCTATCTTGGTCATTGAAGAGGAGGATGCTCCTGCTAATCCACTTCTCTTGGTGAAGGAACCCTTTGTGGGTGATAATTTAAAGGAGAATTGGCGGATTCAGAACCTGAGATTGTTCCTTTGGATGTTGTACCTCAGGAGAAGAACCCGTTACTTCTGCCTGGACCGTGCTCTGAATAGACCTCGCTTGGTAAAACTAAGTCTTTTGATGATTCACCTATGGTGGAAAAATTGTTGGATGATATGGCCATGGATGATGTGCCCTTGAGTGTGGTGTTAGAAGAAATAAAGGAGCGTCGTTGAGTAAGGGTTGTTGCTGTTAATGAAAAGGGGACTGCCAAAAGTGGTATAGGGCCCTAACCTGAGTCAGTCTCAGTTTCTAAGAGCTCTGCGAAAGTCACTGTTAGTGACAAGAAGATGAAGGCCGCTCTTAAGGGTAAATCATTTTTAACTATTCCAACTCATGTAGGAGCTTTTTGGAATAAATAAAAAAAATAGTTCATTTAAGGAGTATATTTTGATAAAGGGTGTGGTTTACATAAGGTTGCAACCTTATACAATTAAAGTTTAGAGGACATTTAAACTTTGTCGTAAGATCTTATTTTTGGGTTAAAATTTCTTAGGATGGCCTGAAAATCTATTATCTCTAAGTATAGAAATTTAAACTCAAAAAATAGTTCAGATCAAGTAAATCTATAAATACTTGTAAATCTTGCAAATGGATGATTTAGATAAAAAAAGAATTTATATAAGGTTGCAACCTTAAAGTGTAGAATTAAGGTGCACCTTAAAAATCCATCTAAAATGTCATTTTGATGTTGGAAAACCCGCTAGTTGATCATCTCGATATAGAGATGTATAAATATGAAAAGAAAAAAAATATTTCGAGTTTGAAAAATAGTTTATCTTGCAACACAATATCTGGACCGTCAATTTTCAAGATTTTCAAGTGTTTATAGATTTACCTGATTTGAGCCATTTTTTGAGGTTAGGATTTTATATTTAAAGATAAAAATAGATTCGCAAGTCATCCTAAGAATTTCTGACACCAAAATTATATTTATAATAAAATTTGGTGGTGCGTTTTAATTTGATTGTTTAAGGTTGCAACCTTATACAAGATGCTTAGATAATGTGTTACAAGATGCATTATTTTTAGAACTTGAAATCTTTTTTTTTTCTCTGTACCCATACATTTCAAGATCAAGATGATCAATTGGAGGACTTTCTAACATCTAAATAATCAGTGGATTTTTTAGGCGCGCCATTCTTCTAAATATAAGGTTGACATTTTTTGATTTGATAAATCCCTTTCTAAAATATTAGACTTTCCTTCGAATTTTCTTGGTTGATTAAGGTGAAATCGAAAAGACTTTTATCTTTGTGGATAAATCTTGGAGATTTGATACGTAATGCATCAAATTTTATTGGTAACTTAAGGTGAAATCAGCATCATTAAGTAACTTTTTTATCTTTCTTGATAAGTCTTGCAAATTTAGTGTGCAATAAATTATTGATGAGGAAAGAGCCTTTTAATGTTTCATTAGGGTTGATAACCAAGGAAACCCATTTCTTTCCATATATCAAATGTAACTGAGGGTATGGTGAGGTTTGTGTGACGTGCCCAACTTATACTATACAACAATACACATTTTAAATTTTGCTAGAGAACATGGCTTAGTATCGAAAACCTTCCAATGGTTTGGGAATCCATGTGTAGCCCTAATTTTGAAACTAAATTTTTAAAAATAATGCAGATCAAACAAGTCGATAAATATTTTAAAAGGTTTAAATTAAATGGTTCATATAACTCATTAAAAGATGTATTATTTTAGGACTTGAAATTCTTTTTCTATCTCTATATATCTTGAGGTAGATAAATTAATTGAAAAGTTTTCCAACTTCGGAATACTATTTTCTACTATATTTTTCAGGTGAACCTCACTTTTATATTATAAGGTTGCAACCTTATTATTTTTTCCACACATACATAAGTATATATAAAAAAACATTCAAAAAATATGGGTGCAGTTGGCATACAAATG